AAAGCCCCAATGAGCCGAGGCCGTTGAGTTCTCGTTCAATGAGGTCACGCCCTTCACGCCAACCTCCCAGTCCGTAGCCACCGGGGTTGTTTTCCAGGTCATCATCATCTTCCTCCAAAAGTCCCCAGCTGCAAATGTTTTGCACTCGACCATATAGATTAAAGAGAGTGGCACAGATGGGCAGCAAAATGAACACCGGGAAAAAGTAGTCAAACCCTTTACCAAGCGGTGTGAGGTCGATTAACCGCCCCAGGAATTTGTAAAAGACGGTGCTCTGTCGCGCACTAACCGGCAAGAAGGTCAGAAAGTTGTAGGCGATGGGTACAGTCAGCCGGGCTACAAGCCCAGCGTACCAGCATGCGCTCTCCCCATACGTGTTCCGACGGACCAAGGCACGGTTGCCCCATACTTTGGCGTCATTCACGCCCACCAAGGCTGCGGAGCACATGTACATCAACCAAGCAGAGGCAATAACTTGACGACCGAAGTTCACTGGCGCAGGATCTTGATGATAGGATACAATGGAAAGGGTCACCACCGACAGCCGAGGCGCCATAGATTTGATCACTTCGGACCAGAAAATGCAAGCGGATGCGGCAGTGAAGAGAGCACCTAGTCCAAGTCGGAGGTTCGGGATCACGCGCACATAGAGCTGGTAACGCATGTATGGACTCAAAACCTTAGTATTCGGCAACCATGAAGAGCGATAAGGTGACGGAGTAAATTCCAACTTCCTCGATGCAGACGAATTGATAATGGCTTGCATATCAGCAGCCGACAGCACCAAGCGGTCCCACTCGTCGATGAAACGAGCCTTTTGATGCCGAGCCCGCTGAAGACGTCTTGTCAAATCTGCCAAATAGCGTTCGGTAATGACGGCAGGGATTGTTTCGGACCCATCTGAATGATCCAGCAGCGTTGACCGTGGTTCAGAAGGACTGCAAGTCTCTGCCAGCTCGTCAATCCAATCCTGAAAGTCGAGGGCGGTCCCTGTCTTCCGGCGCTGCAGTTGAGAGACCTGACTCTCGAGGCTTTCCAAATCATTGATCGCATCCATCAAGCGGTCGTGCAACCGAGGGGCATGGGCGTGAATTCTCCGGAGCCTGCCGCTGACATCGGCGTTGCGGAATAGTGTGCGAGGGATCGAGACGAGACCATGACCCATGAGGTAGATCGCCAGTACGAGACCCCAGACGTAAGCAAGAGCCATAACGAGCGCCTTGATTGAAGTAAATTCGAACCCATTCTGGATAGATATGTAGACCAATCCGACAATCGCACAGCACAGCACGATGAGTTGATAGCGCGCATTCGAACGGATAGAGTACTGAATACGGCCCTTCGGTTCACGATATCCAGAATCTATATATTCTCCGAGAAGCGGGAGGATAGCCCTATAAGGAGGTGAAAGTCCGATCAGCATCGCCGTTAAATTAGTTCAGAACAGCCAGAATTGGCTGACGAATGACACGACTTATACGTACCATGTCAGTACAAATATCAGCCAGTAGGTGATGCGCCACGAGACTAGAAGTAAGCGGTCAGGTAGCCAGATGGCTGCGGGACCTGATCCATCACGCGAACTTGATGCCAGGTCGATGGGAACCAACAGAACTACACTGGCAGGAAGCGCGAGCGCAAGAAAGACGGGAATGGAAAGATAAGCGGGGGTTGCGCGCAAAGTGAGAAAGCGCCGGAGAAGAAGTAGAACAAGGATAGAGATTGTGAGAAGGGCCAGCGAGAAGAAAATACTAGACCCTACAGGCATAGGCGTGGCGTAAACCATGGCGATGATTGGGGGGGAGGGAGGAGGAGGGAGGGAGGGGATGTCAGTACATCCGGCGGAGGATAAAAAGGGAAGTAGAGCAGGGTCTCGGGGAAGAGGGCGATCTATCAATAAAGCATTGCAGGTGGAACTAAAAAGAGACTAACGATCGAGAATCGAGGGGTAAAAGCACAACCGTGTGAAGTATAGGAGTGTGAGTATTAACGAGGGGGAGGGAGGAAGGAGTATGGGAAGGAGGGTGAGAGTTGAGAGGAAATAAGAGAAGCAAAAGTGACCAGGAATAGAAGAAGTAGAAACTGCCCGTAGTTACTATGAGTAAGTACGTACGTACAGTAATCCACGGTAAGTACTATGGATCGCAAATGCGGCCGAGACTTGAAACGAGATCTGCTGAATGGATCAGCTCATTTCCCAAAAGTTCATTGATGGTCGATGATAATTCAAGGGCGGCTTCCAGCCCGGGGGCCGGTGACGACAGCAGCCAGGTCACGTGACGGTGCCTGACGTGTCTTGTTTCCGTAAAAAGTAACAGCGGAGTCGCCATTGCCGGCACTAGATTCCTTTTCGCATCTCGAAGTATTCCACTGGGCACACTTCTCCACGGCCCTTCAGGTTTGCAGTGAGTGGACTCTGAACCACACCGCATTTGGACCTTCAATCCTACTGAGTATAAATAAATATCGCCGATGCTAAGTTAGCCTGACTTTGGAATGTGAGATTGGTCTAGACTTTGGGGTCTCTAGACTGTCGGGACAGCATATAGGAATATGATGCGACTTCAGTCATGCACACCCTCGACTCTAGTCATGTCCTCTCGGATGGCACGCTGCCCGCTACAGTATTCGCAAGACTCCCAAGCCAAGTCCTGCATCTCAATCCGAAGGTGCACTGGAGGGTTTTGCCAAGGAGAATCACAGGAGCTTCGCATAGCAATCAACAATGAGACACTATTGTAATGCCCTGAATAAGGGTTGACTTGGTTGCATACTCTCGCTGTCTAATTCTCTTTGTTGTTGAAAACGACATCATGTGCATAATTTTGACGGCTGAGTACTGCGCTCAAAGCCGGATGTGCCGATAGGAATCTCCGTAGATTGGCATGAGGCACCCCCAAGCTTTTCTCGGGAGCGACCCATCGATAGACATGTTCCAGGGCCATGTTGATCGGACTTCAACTCACGTTGACTACTCCGTAGATCGGATTGAGAAGGAATCCTGCAAATGGGAATCATGCCCCGTGGAGCAGGATGGTCAACAGAAAGTGTTTTCCCCATGTTTAAACTGTGGTTGTATACCAGTATCTTCCAAACATCTTTCATTCTGGGCGATAGCTGTGTGATTTGTAGCACCTTCACTGCAGGCCGCTTTGGTACGTTTTCAAATCAGGAATAGTCTGTTCGGTCAAGGTCAGTGGCACTAGTGAACTAGTGTACCGATCTCATTCTGAGGGAACCATGAAGTATTTACGGAGTCGTGGTCGAGACCTCTAGTAGTGAACCATTTACAATTTCTGCTGCTGGGCCAGCAACTCAATTAGGTACAGCACGAACCACAGGCAATTCCGTGGTCAACGTTCATCCTACCGGACCGTGCCTGGGCAGATTCGAGGTAGAGAGAATAAATGTGTGTTGAATATTTGGGTCAAGTTGACGCCTGGCCACTGAACCAATTTAGTTGCTGCGAGCTGCCCTTGCTAAGGAGGCGGACAACTCGAAGACCTTCCCCCCCAAAGCTAAAGCACCGCAGATAACTCTTCATTGGTCGATCAGTGGGGACCAGTATGGTTCACGGCCTCTATTCAATCTCAAGCAACTGTACTCGTGTAATGCGATCCAAGTCTAATCTTACCGAACCGATATCGCCAAGACTGAGTCGATGCCTGCCAGTAGGTGGTAAAGTAGTTGGTCTGTACCACCTGGCCGCACCACGGAGGATTGTTGTGGTAGTACTAATGTGCCGTAACCAGCAAGTCTGACCGTAGGTACATACAGCTGTAGCTACGAGGCCCTCGGATACAGTCAAATGATTGTGGCTTTCACTACGATCTGTGGTGACTAATGAGTGCGTGCCTTGGTGATACCCATCATTATTATCATCCCAGCCTGCTAACTGATTGCTGCTGCACAGATCGCCTGAACCACAACACTAAATCCAGTCTACAGGGTAGGCGGGAGCGATATCCACCATTGGTCACGTCAATTAGAGGTACTAGTGATTGGGCTGATGGTGAAACTTGGTTCCGAGGCAAGGAAAGAGAAAATACAATCCAAAGAAGCAAAGAAGCAAAGAGGCAAAAAGAAAACATACAAGGTAGTGGAAAAGCAGGAAAGACTGACTGATTGACTGGCTGCGAAACCAACATTTCTTGGCCTGGAAGACCTTGCGTCTTTTCCAGAGCCAGTCACCCGCCGAGACCAATTACTCGTACCAGGAATTTCCGGTGATGGGGAACGGACCAGAAAGCAAAAAAAGAGGATGGCCCGCTTTTTTTTGGGTCTCCGTCGGCTGGCTCCCCGTCAGTTCCTAAGGGCGATCCCCTCCTATGGGTACATAAGGTTGAGAGAGAGAGAGAGAGAGAGAGAGAGGAAGAGAAGAATTTATGAATAGGTAAGTAATGCGGATAGGAGATGATCAGACAATCTTGACCTGAAGTACAAATGTCCTGCTAGAGTAGTCATGTTGCGTATAAAATTCATGTACACAGTATGATGTACAGTACAGTATAAAGTACAGTAACTGGATCACTTATAGCCTGAATCAATGACAACTTACTCAGGCAGACTAATAAGGACGATTTGGGGGTGGGGGGAAGTGGCCAACAGGCGCTCAAATAATAATCGAGCAATCCATCGAGTTGTCAGTTGGCGACTGGGTTAAGTTCAGGTTTACCAGGTTTTCCCTAGTTTCCTTCTCAGAAGGTTAGTACAGTACCAAGAAGCTGATGATGAGCAGGACCAACGGGCAGATCCCCAAGTGGTCCTGGGCACGGGGACGGGAGGGGGTACAGTACCTTCATCCTTCAGTAGAGTTAGTTAGTACTCTAAGTCTAGGTACGTAGCGTTAATCGCCCCAGGGCCACCAGAACCACTCACCTGTCTGCATCTGGCGCCTCAGGCCACTAACACTAGGTAACTAATTCCTGAATGATTTTAGGTGTATTACCATCACGGCCATCACGGCCATCATCATCCACGGCCACCCAACCCACTTTCCACGACTACTACCACTCATATTATTAACTTACCACCACCCAACTTGACTTCCGTTAGACTAAACTACTATCAGGTAAGGTGTACCTTTCCTTATACCTTAGTAGTATTAAACTCGAACTACCTTAATACCACGTACAGTACGGAGTATCTACTGAACTAAAATGACTGACTGATTGACTGACCTCAAAAGAGTCTCCCTCTCTTTTCTACACCACCACCTCTCTACTACCACCGACACCACCACCTTCTCTCTTTCTCTTCTTCTCTCTCTTTCTCTTCTCTCGCTTCCTTCCTCTCTCTCTCTCTCTCTCTCTTTCCGTGCATGAGATCTTTAGCGTCTCTGCCCTCTCCCCTTTGTTGCCTTGCCCGTATATTGGGGGTCTATTACGGCCATTCATCCATTTTCATTTTCTTGTTTCCCTATTTCCTGCCCAGCTTTTCTCTTCTGGGTAGTCCCTCCCCCCCCCCAATTTGCCTACCTACCCACCCAACCCACCTAGACTCTGTTTCCTCGTTTCGTGATCGATCGCCGCATTTTGACTCTCTTTCTCCTTCTCCCTCCCTCTCCTTCGGACCCCATTCTCTTTCTGTTTCTCTGTTCCTCTCTCGCCTTTCGTTCTTTCTACCTTCATCTCTTCTTTCCATATTTGAATCTTCTCCGCCAGATCGGAGGAGCTATTATCGGGTGAGTTGAAGATTCCCTCCTACTGCTCGGTTCATCCTAGCGCCCTCTTCTGCCGACCGTTCGGCTTTTTTGCGCACCTCTGCATCCATTGCCTAGCCAAAACACCGGGATTCTTCGACGAGTGAATGCTCGCTTCTCTCTCCTAACTGCGAAATGTGCTTTCGGAGCGAGTCTCTTCTCCCAACATTCACTGACATGTGCTACCCTTGCACCTAGGCTTCTAACTTCGACTTGTTTTCTTCCTTATCTCTCTCATCTCTTGTGACTCTGGGAAGCTCCATACCTTGTCACCCCGAACGATCTTGCGAACTAAGCGGTGCAATACATTAAACATCCCTGTCACTGATCCAAGATACATCAGTGTAATCCTGCCTAGCCCGCCCGCAAACCCCCCTCCAAGCCACTTTCCGGGCGCCTGCCAACAACACCACCCTCAACTCACCACTGGTGCCCGAACGCCTTGTTTTCCCTTGCTGTGTTGGTCCTGCGTCTTCCACTCGTATCCCACGACCTACTCTCCATCATTCGTCTTCTTGCGTTTCGAACAAAATTCTCGGAATCAACAGCGAAGCTCATATCGCTGCCGTCTTCGTCCCTATCGCGACCACACTCGGAGCGCTAACCGCTTCTCTCAACATCGCCCTCGACTGTCCGAGCCCCTCTTGCGGTTAATCCCCCCAAGCTAGCTTACTCACCGAAATATCTGGAGTGCGATCAAGTCTTCATCGATCACGAAGATTCTATCGCAAGGTGTAACGCTTGGCATTCGGGCCAGCGAATGCTGACGTCAAACGAAGGCCTGCGCGGACTGCTCCTCGATCCCCATTGAGGGGGTTGTTGACATGAATCCGGCAAACCTCCCCAACGGGGGTGGAGGTATGAATGGTGGTAACAACAATTCGATAATCTTGTCTCAGGTCGCGCAAGCTCTGCAGGCCCAGGGTCAGTATTCAGGATGGCGAGCGGAAGTACCGATCAGTGATCGGGCAATGAAGGTCTATCAAATGTAAGTGGCCGTTGTGTCCATACACGTGCTCTTGACCGCTTTCTGTGGCTTGAGATTCGTGTAACCAGTTCGACTAGGCGTGGCTTTGTCAACCTAACCTTTTCCACACCAGGATTACATCACTCCGTCTCATAACACCCCGCATTGACACGCAAAGTGCCGCCCATGCGGCATTGGCTTTCGAACAGAAAGCCTTCAAAGACGCAAGAGAAAAGGTGTGCATCCCTACGTTTTGGACTTCATTGCTATACCAACCTAACACTTCTAGACTGAATACGAGAGGAACTGCAACGAGAAGCTCGTTCATATTCGCGACACCCGCGCACGACAAGCTGCTGTGATGCAGAACGGAATGATGCCCCAGGGCCCAACGGCGGGGATGACTGGTGTTGGTCAGGCAGGATTTCCTGCACAAATGAACCACCCCATGCAGGCGTCTCCGATGCCAGGGCAACAACATATGTCAATGGGTCTTGGTGACCTGGGCCAGCAAAATGGAATGCAACATCGTCCACAATCCCAACAGCCGCAACAGCAACAGCAGCCGCAACAGCCGCAACAGCAACAGCAGAACATCATGCAACAAAGAGCTCAGCAAAGGCCCGGCATTGGATTTCCATACAACGACGAACTCCAAACTCTTTCCGCTCAGGAATATGAGCAAGTCTGTCGAGTTGCAAGCCAAATCATCTCAAAAACTCCCCAAGAAGACTTGGAGAAGATCAAGTTGAATCTGCAGAATATGTCGCCAGAGCAGCGCCAATACCTATCCAAGAAGAACATGGATCCGTTGACTTACTTCTTCCGCTCGCAGGCTCTGACCCAGCTTCGACGGTTCAAGCGGAACCGAATGGAAATGGCTCGTGCTCAGGGTAATGGTGTCGACCCTAATGGGGCTGCAATGCTGGCAGAAACGATGAACCCACAGCAGCGACAAATGTTAACAAATATGCTGAACCTACAGCGTGACTCCGCATACCCCATGGGAAACCAACAGAACCCGGAGCCATCGTTCATCGGTAGTGTCGACAACATTCAAGGGCAACAGGCGGATGGGTTGCGGTCTCAGGAAGCGGGCCAGCTTGTGGTGCCAGCTAGCTCCTTGCCCATTAATCAGACGGCATCGAATATGTTCCAGATGGGCCCTCAGCTCAACCAAAACGCACAATCCGGTATCAGCCCTCAATTCCTTGCGCAGCATCCACAGGGCGCACAGAATGTTTCGCAAGGTAGATCTCAACAGACACCGCAACTACAAACCGAGACCCAAGCCCAACAGGCAGCACGCGTTCAGGCAGCACAAAGAGCGCAGATCGCAATGACTCAAAATGGACAAGCCGGGTCCCAGATGCAACACCAAATGACACAACAAAGTCCCGCAATGTCCATGCTGAACCGCCCTATGGCCCCAGGTCAAATGTCTCCGGCGCAGGTTGCTGCACAGGTTCGGCCTCCGTCTCGCGCTCCTGGTATGGGGCAGCAGCAGGCTAATGTCCAGTCCATGGGCGGACAGCCATCAATGCAACGGCCTCAAATACCACCCGGGCTGCCTCCACAACTTCAAGAGCAACTGAACCAAATGAGCAATGAACAGCTGAATCTCTTCTTCCAGCAGCGCCGGCTGGCGAACAACCAGGCTCTGTTACGGGCAAATCAACAACAGTCCATCCCGATCCAGCAAAACTTCCCACAGCAAGGCCAAGGCCAGCAGATGTTGCCCGGCCAGATTGGCAACGGCCAGAACATGCGAGCACCTCTCAATTTGCAACAGCACATTGCCAATATGAACAGCCAGATGCTGCCTGGACAACAGATGTCGGTTCAGCAGCGACAACAACAGCAACAGCAACAGCGCCAACATGACATGTACAAGTTGCAGCTTCTTCGCCAACATGGCAGAGGCATCGAAATGTCCCCTGACCAAGTCAAGGAAATGGACCTCTTGCATTTCCCCCCAGCAATTCTAAACAACAACCCGAACATTTCGTCGCCTGTTCCGAAGCATATAAAGACATGGGGTCAACTGAAACAATTGGCAGCTTCGAACCCACAACTACTCGGGGGCGTAGACATACAAAAATTAATGGCTTTGCAGAAACTGCATCTTGCCCAGATTCTTGCTCAATCGAAAGAAGGCGGCCGTGGCGCGGAACAGAACGGTCAGGGCCCTTGGATGCCAACACAATTCCAGGGACAATCGCAGCCCTTCATGAATAATCAATTCCCATCCGGTCAGCAGCAACCTTCCATCAATATGCCTGCCATACGCCCGATCACTTCACAAGATATCCAGCTGGCCAGGCAGCGCCTTGGTCCACAGGTCCAGAGCCTGAGTGACGAACAACTCCGTGATTTGCTTCACCGGAACAGACAGAAGCAGATACAGGCAGCGCAAGCTCGCGCCTTGGCTGCTCAACAGGGTCAACAGGGTCAACAGGGTCAACAGGGCCAACAGGGCCAACAGTCTCAGATAACTTCGCAGCCTCCTGTCAATGTTCCTCCAACAGTTCCTCAAGCCAAGCTAGAGTCCCAAGCTCCGCAGTCTACATCGCAGCAGGGCCCGCAGAATGCGACGGCAAAGGCTCAGGCTACAACTGCTGGAAAAGGCAACAAAGCTTCTGCCACCAAGCAGGCACCCAAGAGGAAGCTTCCAAATGAGGAGCCCACGGAAGTTCAAACTACGCCCATACAAAAGCCGACTCAACCTGCCACTTCACAAGGAGGACCCGTCCCCGTTCCCAACAGGCCCAACATGTTTTTCACCCGCGAACAGCTGGCGGCTATGACACCCCAGCAACGTGCTCAGCTGGAGCTACATTTGCGGAGGCAACAGGCACAAGGCCGTGGATCCATCAGTAGGACTTCCGCTGAAGATGCATGGAACAATCTACCAGAAAGGATTGTAATGATGTACGAGGAAATCGCTAAGACTGCGCCGCCTGTTGAGCCTGTTGCAATTACACCGGAGCAGAAGGCAAGCATGTCTCAGCAGCTGCGTGACTCGACAGACTATTTGGGTAGGATGGATGCGCTTGTTCAATTTATAGCAAAAATACCCGGCCAGGAGCGGAATGTCCGCAGTTTACTTGCGATGGTAGGTCTTCGTCACCTTTTATCCCTCGTCTGCATTCAGCTAATGGCGCCTACAGCGGATACAATTGATGAGACAATTCAAACCCGGGGCTGATTGGGCACTCGCTGACCAGTACACGATCACGCCCGAGTATCTCGCAGGAACCACTAACTATATCAAAAAGTTGTTCCATCATATGATCGCCCGAGTAAACCAGCAGCAAAGCCAGTTACCGGGTCAGCGACCCAGTGCCCCACAAGGTGGATCTGTGGCACCGGCCAGCCTCCCGAACAACATGCCCGCTCTGAACGCGACGAACCTGCACCAGTTACAGCAACAGGAAGAGGCTCTTCAGCGTGCTCGTCGAGCTTCCAGCCAGACCGCATCAGGACCTTCCGGAATTCCACAGGCACCATTCGGCGCACCCTCGCCTCAAGGTGTTCCCCACGCTTATGGACCCGGTAGTATACCTCCCGAGCAGTTGAAGCTGCCCCCTCCGAAGAAGCGAAAGCAGTCTCATGCCGGTGCTACCCCCGTGCTTGGAACTTCAGTGCCCAAGGCTCAAGCAAACAAGCAAACAGGCGCAGAGGTGAAGCTGGCTGGTGCAGCTTTGAGCGGCGCTTTCAAGTGCAGTGTTGCTGAATGTCAGAACCATTATCATGGCTTTGCCACTCAAAGCGCGCTAGACAGTCACGTCGAAGAATGCCACAAGATCGAAGAGCCAATTGAGAATCCGCTGGAGTTTGCCCTGGAGAGTTTCCGTACCAACCTTGTCAAAGAGGAAGAGCAAGGACGATTAGAAAGCAGTAAGGACACCTCACAGGCCCTCGGCAAGCTTGGTCCAGCATCATCTCCAACGAAACACGATACCAAGCTTGGAGGTACGCCAGTTCCTGGGGGCGCGACTCCCATGGGCCGTGCTCCCAGTCAACTGGGACCCAAGCCTAGTTCCCCGGCCTCGAATTTGCAACTAACTCCCCGTACTTCTTCAGCCAAAGCGCCTACGTCATCTCCTCTCAAGCCAACGACCAGCAAGGGCGATAAGAAAGAAGCGACCAAGCCCCTGGAACACGCACCCCCGGCAATGGACGTGATGACAGCCGACCCATGGGCAAACAGTACCATTTCCCTCGAAACGATTCAGGACACGTTCTTGGATCTCGGGGACGATGCGGGCCTGGGCTTTGGGGCGATGGACGAGTTTCTCAATCCTGAGATGTTTACCAATTCCCAATCCGAGGACACTCCGGACTCAATCGAGACCGGTCTTATCACCCAGACCCCTAAAGATAACGAGCTACCAAAGAGTGCCGAGGTCAACGGCAAGACCGGAGAAATCGCGGACGAGAATTGGATTCCTGTGGATTGGATCAACCTCCCGGGCCGATTCGAAGACGGTCTTCTGATGAACGACTCATGGGACGACATTGATTGGGAGATGATTGACCGTAAAGACACGGGCATGAATGTTGATGACGGTGGAATCGCCATCATTGCCATGTGATCTGATCCATGTTTTCTGTTATCTCATGAGCGCCGTTTATGATTTTGAGCTGGCGAATGGCGTAGTGGATTCTATGTTTCTGCTGGCATAATTGATTGCAGGCCGGATGTACATTAACCGGGGGACACAGGAGTGATTGCCTGGGTCTTCATTCTACATTTTGCTATCATTTCATTCTTAGCCATGGCGTTGCAAGGAGCAAGTGAGGGAAAAAGAAGAGTCTCTTTTTTTTGGCCCTCGCAGACAGTGAAGTGTCTTTTGAGTTGGGGGGATTAATGTGATTAGCAGCAGTTCTAAGGCTATTACAATCATTGGATTGGATACGACCTTGAGTCGGAACATTCTTCAAGAGCTTCCATGTTTCTGTGGATATAGATACTAGAGAATGATCTCATGAATACGCCGAGAATCGAAATAGTCCTGAGAATGAGGACCTTGTTAGTAGCTGTGCTGTACTGTAAATAAGTTGCTGTACAATAGAGAAGGACGGATCCCGTGATCCGTGGCTGGCTTGTTCCCCACCGCCACTGGAGATCAGCTGCCGTTCCGATAAGCTAACTTTAGGTCGATCCATCCTATCCTCGACCCCGTCCGTCATTTTGCCATCTCCTCCTCCTCTTCCCATCACCATCACCATCACCATCCCCGTCTTTGTTCCGTGTTATTCCCCCACCACCAACCAACTCCCTCCCCTCTCAACCCCCGTCAGGTTCCATGATGGGTTGTCAATAGATTACTCTATCTCACCGTCTATCTCACCGTTGATGATCTGATTTCTACCGCAGCATATGCGACCGGCCTCTTGCGCTCCTTGGTCGGCTATCTCTATCGCGCTTCCTTCACTAAATATTAAACCTTTCCCTCCATACGTCGGATACCGAGCCTTATCTGTATACATATTACATCTAAAGCTCTTTTTCTATTTGTTGTTAGCTTCAACAAACAGCAATAATGGCGAGCAAAGCCACCGTCCCCTTCCTGGTCACGATGATGCTCGTGACTGGGGTTTGCAATACAATCCTCAACAAGTATCAGGTTTGATGCTCCACTGATTATCTTGCCTTTTTTTGAATATGACTGACAATGTCTGCTGATAGGACATGCAATGTGTTCGTAATTGTGACTCTCCAGACCCCAAGTATCGTCACACTTTTGAGCAACCGGTGATCCAGACGTATGCTATCTCTCTCTCTCTCTCTCTCTCTTTCTGTACCAATTGGCTATATAACGCTCATATCATCTGGATCATGATAGCATCCAAATGTTCATTGGCGAGATGGGCAGCTGGCTTGTCGTTTTATTTTCATACCTCTACCAGCGCTACATCGCTCTTCGCTTGTCCAGCAACTCCTCCCCTCTTCTGGCGGGTGGCTATCATCCCGTCCACAACGACGATGCGCTTGACGAAGAAGAGGAGGATTACACGATTCGGGGTCCCGAACATCTTCGTGATTCCACCAAGCCCGATGAATCACCTGATGGGCGCATTCGTCTCCAAGGATGGAGGATCTTCCTCCTTGCAGCACCAGCATGCTGTGACATTGCAGGTACTACTTTGATGAACGTCGGGCTGCTGTTCGTCGCCGCCAGTATCTACCAAATGACCCGGGGTGCCCTCGTCCTTTTTGTTGGCCTCTTCAGTGTGATCTTTCTCCACCGTAAACTCCACATTTATCACTGGGCGGCACTGTTTGTGGTCGTTCTTGGCGTTGCGCTGGTAGGCCTTGCAGGCGCACTATTCAGCCAGGGCCATGACTCTACCCCAGAGAATGCAGCAGCAGCCATCACACATGCTCTCCGAGAAGTGCAGACCACTGCACGGACTCCAGAAGCCGTGCAAACACTGATCGGTGTTCTTCTCATTGCCGCCGCGCAGATCTTCACCGCTTCGCAGTTCGTGCTCGAGGAATGGATCCTGGAACATTACGCCATGGATCCTCTTCAAGTTGTCGGTTGGGAGGGTATCTTTGGGTTCAGCGTGACTGTTATCTGCTCGATCATCATGTACCTGGCTGTCGGACGGACCGAGGCAGGTCGCTATGGCTACTTCGACGCAAAGGAAGGCTGGCGCCAGATTCTCCACAACCGTTCAATCGCCATCTCCAGCCTTCTGATCATGATCAGCATTGGGTAAGTTATCACCACTAAACAGCTTCAATCTCGTTGATACTAAGTGTCTCTACTGCAGCGGCTTCAATTTCTTTGGGCTTTCCGTTACTCACACCGTTTCGGCTACATCGCGTAGTACCATTGACACGTGCCGCACCCTCTTCATTTGGCTTGTCTCTCTAGCTCTCGGCTGGGAAACCTTCAAATGGCTCCAGGTGGCTGGCTTTGCTCTGCTAGTCTACGGGACCTTCCTTTTCAACGACATTATCCAGCCCCCACTCAAAGCTTGTCTTCCTCGTGATCGCCGCGAAAGAGTTATTCTTCTTCCCGAGGAACCCATCGAGCATATTTAGAAGTCCGGACTGTGCACAAAAACGCACAGTTGGACTTGGCCCGTTTTGTCCCACAACATGACATCTCTCAATTTTGGCTTCCTTGGGCTGGCTAAGACGGTGTTGATCAATTTGTCTAGCTACACTTTGTTACTGTCGGGCTTTTAGAGGTCATTGGCTTGGATGGCTGGTCACTGTATTGGATATGTTCACTCTACCTAGGTACACGCTCCCCACAACCATTTGGAGATCGGCCGGGAAAACCCGTCTCATTGCACCTATATATATATTTTCTTGGTATGGCGGGTTTCCGATTGGCCGAGTAAGTGGCTTTCCGTCGCGTTCAACCATTTCCATCGTCCTGTCATTTTTTGTTTTCCAGGCGCTATCATGGTCACGTAATCGAGTTTTTACTTCTTGTTCGACTATTTGGCAAGATCTTTGGAATAGACGATGGCGACATCGATGCAGCAGAATGGCAATAAGATTTTATCATGGTTATTCAGTTTCGTCCATTGGTTGTGTGAATTGCATCTGGCTGGTTTGTGGAAAATATGCCAATCCAGCACATGTGGCCTAGGGCTAGGGTCCACCAGATCGGGCGAGGATATATTTTGAGAATCAATCGTCTCTATCGGTATTTATGATCTTGGACCCCTTCATCTATCACGCTGTCCCGGACAAAGATCCCTTATACACGAATCCCGTTCTCAGATCCAGTCTTCTTTCTATATTCTCACCCGGAACTCGGTCTCATAAAAAGGCGTGACTAGGCAGAAGCCGTAAATCGGCACGTGGCATAAAATCGGCGGGATTGATGCTGTACAAGCAATGTAAATTGCATTGGAAAAATAAAAATGTGAGGACACGCTCAGAAGGAGGGGTTATTCATGCAATAATGATGGAAGATATCAGGATATATATAAGGGATAATGATAACACAGAGACGAAGAAAAAGAGAGGTATGCTTCAGGAATCGAACATAAGATATGGTATATGTATGTGATTGGTTGATTGTAGGGGTGTGGGGGCGATGGTAATAGCGTCCTAGCTTTGTAGATGGTTTGTATATGTGGCGAGTAAATTGTCTATCGGGGTGTTTGCTTGTTTGTGTGGGATGGCATACGTTCAGACTAGGACGTAGAGTGCGCACATCTGGATGGGGCGTTGAGTGTTACTTGAGTTTTGGGGAGACCAAGGTTAAGTGATAGTACTTACCATGGATAATCCGAGAATCATCGATAGCCAGAAGAAGGCGTTCTGATGGAGGTAGAAAGAGTAGTTGTTAGTTCCATGTTATCTATATTCGGGAGTGGCTTTGGAGTGTTATGGATGCACGTACGTTAAGAATGGTCTTCCCCTTTATGTACTTGGACTGCTGGACCGCAACGATGGGCAGCTGGAGCATCATGGCGAGGAAGCCGTAGCCACGAAGCTTCTTGGTGATACAGCTCATGACCAGTTCGTGAGCGATGGCGCTGACGAGGAAGGTGATGAACATGGCGACTGGTTTGGAGAAGTGGGAGAGGGAGGGGAAGTAGACATGGCGCCGGAGGAAGTGGTGCACGGGGATGTTCCATTCTCTGGAGAATTCCAGCCTGCATGTCATAGAAACGTTCTTGTCAGCTCATGTCAACCTACATCATCAGTAGCGTCTGTAAGAGCCACCAGAGGTGTCCGTGTGCAGCAGACGTACCAATCACATGAGTTCCACCAATCCGAGTAGAAATGACGGTCGGCAAAACAAGTCAGCTCTGCGAAAGCGCCCAGCACATATTCGAAGATGACGAGAAAGACAAGCAGGAAGGTGATCAGGAAGGGAAAGAGAAGCATGCTGATGGTCTCCGCCATGATCAAAGCCTTTTCGGTCATACTTGACACGGTGTGGAGCTGGATGTTGGCCTCGCTCAAGACTGGCACAATGAACTCCTCGCTGGTCAACGTCAGAAGAAAGATGCATCCGAAGATCGCGAGGGTTTTCAGGCCGATCTCGATCCAGTCCCGGTCACTGTTCCGAGGGTATTCCAACTCGTAGCACAAAGTGGGACAGAAGATGAAATCCACATAGTTGGTGACCGTCAGGTTTTGTGGGTATGTCACATTGCCCATCGGTGAGGTCAGCTCCGTGGCTAGATCCTCACGCAACTCGGCGATCGATTCGGATCGTGCGTGTTGACTATGGCGCCGGGTGGCAGCGTGCCGGCGAGGGGAGGCATCCGGATACGGCACCGGAGCTTCCAAGGACACAGAGCCGGGCTTGTCAAGCGATGACAAACGACGCTCAGTCTCGCTGAGATGACCGTTGTAGAAGGCATATGAGTGTACTTTCATCAAGATAGTCAATGTATGGAGGGTGAAGAATACTTGCGCTGTCCAGGTCCAGCGCATCATAAAGGGCCAACTGCAACTCATGGTTAGCTCATGAAATCATGACCCCAGGAATGGTGTAGCTGTCGAAACCTACTTGATCCATAGGCAGGCCCAGGCCGCTTCGAAGATACTTTGCATGGCCATGCCTCCTCCTTTCCAGCGCCAAACACCACCGCGAGCCCTGATTATGCGATGGAGGGGTAGCACTGCAGCGCTACTCACTACCATAGCCAGGTCACTGACGCCCATGGACCACACGTTTGCCGACAACAGGTTCCAAACTCTCACTCTGAAAGGGGATCCAGTATCCTTGATATTGCGAAGCGCTGTGGTGACCACCATAATAAACAGTGCGATCCAAAACAGGGTATAGAACCCGCGGAAATTGCGGTAGTCGCTTCTCGGGTCGAAATGGGACACTCGGGGCACATAGTCGATGGTATAGAAGATCCGTGTGCGCGCTCGAGCTTGTTTCCTGGCGGTGGAAATCGAATGGAGGGAAGGCGGGGCATCTTCAGGAACAGGTGTCGAATGGCCGCTAAAAAGCAAAGATTGTCAGTCCGAATAGTCGACAACTGTTGGAGTTGATCGCTCGCTGCCTACCTTGACTCTAAGCTTTCCGAAGGAGGGACGGACGTAGGATCCGTCGTCGACTTCTTCATGACCGGGACCACACGCGGCCGTAATAACGGGGAGCCATTCACTTGTTGAATGGCAGAAGACATGTTGGTCTAATCGTCGGATAAGGGGATGGAGGAAAGGGGAAACAAGACAGTGTCACATCGAACCAAGTGAAGAATCAATGGGAAAAGGGGAATAATGCAATTGATATATGAGACGATGCTGTACGTAAGTTGATCTGTTCTTTTTGCCACGCATGCAACGGGGCATGCGACAAGTAGAGAAATCCAGAAGGGGGGAGGGAAGAGGGGATGTGATGCGGTCTCTTATGTGGATCCCATACTTCGAGCACAGTCAGACAGAGAGACACACACCTTAAATCTGGCTCGTGCAGGGACCAACCGACCAAAACGAATACGAAAGATGTTCCAGGGGTTAAGTATAGAAAGGTCGGACATTGAGGCGCGGATCCGGAGTATGTTTTAAAGCCTTAAAAGCCTTTAGGAGGCGGAAGGGCGATCATCAGCATGCACCTCCTGCAGTAGACTGTAGATGACTCGCGCACCACCATCTTGGAAAATGATTAATGTCATACCTGAAGCGGCTGCACAGGGGGGGGGGGGGGAAGAGTCTCGGGGAAATCGGTATTGTTGCGAGAGTGTTCAAGGCTGGATTGCAAGGACGTCATCGGAAGCGCAGTTGGACCGAGTCTCCGCATCTTCCGTGCAGCTCGGGGGTTGTTTGTGTCTGCCAGTGTCCGTCCGAGTGAACTGGTAGAAGTGAAGTTATGACCGATGATGTAAGGATCTCGGCCTGTACAATTCGAAGTACGTAATACGAGTACGCAGCAAGGCAGAAAAATGTATGCCTGGTATATCAGGCTCCCTATCCTGCGTGGAGCACGTGATAGCAGACGGGAAGGGGGCACGAGCAACGCTAGACCGAAAATAGCGGGCTCTTGCCAAGGCGGCCAAGTCGCAGGCGCGGGCGAGGCTCAACCCATCTGGAAACTGTCTTGAACGACCTGGTCTGCTGGCCCGATCTTCTTTATCAGTTATTATTGCTACAATCTCCGATTTTACTGTCCCCCCCCGACCCCCCCCCCACCAGGATCACTTCCATTCTCCTTTCTATTCACCCCTCTTGGGATTGCGCAGACTGGCTTCTTCGCTCTTTCCCTCACCTTCCCCCGGTTCTCTTCTATCCGGGCGACCTCCCCCCGCCTTTCTATTGCATTTCCCCGTAAGGGGTCCTTGTGCCCGCTATGGCATCCCGTATGTGAAAGGAACCCCCCTCCATCGAGAACACTACCTTGTCGCCTGGTCCACGCTTTGGCTCTTCATTCACTGACGATCTTTCCCTTGTCGCACTGACATTATAGTTAAGCAATTCATTCGAAATGTCCGGTCGGCCAAGACAATCGCCGACGAACGAGCGGTGATCCAAAAGGAGAGTGCGGCCATCCGTGCGTCCTTCAGAGAAGAAAGCCACGATTCAAACGTCCGGTCAGCAATGCAATCCTCCACTGGCATCTTTGCCTCCAAACAGGGTTCTTATACGTGTGAACAGGAGAAATAATGTAGCCAAGCTTCTGTACCTGTTCACCCTGGGTGAACGGACACACTTTGGTCAGATCGAGTGCTTGAAGCTACTGGCATCCCACCGCTTTGCAGACAAGCGGCTGGGATACCTGGGCACTATGCTACTGCTAGACGAGAACCAAGAAGTATTGACGCTGGTAACGAACTCTTTGAAGAAGTGAGTGACTATGCCAGTACCACCAGCGGCTCCCTGCTGACGTCTGGTAGTGACCTTAATCACTCCAACCAATATATCGTTGGCCTGGCACTGTGTGCCCTGGGAAACATCGCATCAGTCGAAATGTCTCGAGATCTGTTCCCCGAAGTCGAAGCCCTGATGTCCACCGCGAACCCTTACATTCGGCGAAAGGCAGCGCTGTGCGCCATGCGCGTTTGTCGCAAGGTTCCTGACCTACAGGAACATTTCCTCGAGAAAGCCAAGAATTTGCTGTCAGATCGGAACCACGGTGTTCTGCTATGCGGTTTGACCTTGGTCATTGATATGTGTGAGGCCGAAGAGGCCGAGGAGGGCCAAGAAGGAGTGATTGAGATGTTCAGGCCTCTGGCGGGTGGACTTGTGCGTGCTCTGAAAGGTCTGACCAGTTCAGGATATGCTCCGGAACATGACGTCTCGGGTATCACGGATCCTTTCCTACAGGTCAAGATTCTACGCTTGCTTAGGGTCCTGGGGAGAGGCGATGCGGCAACGAGCGAGTCAATCAACGACATTCTGGCGCAGGTGGCTACCAACACCGATTCGACCAAGAATGTCGGTAATGCCATTCTCTACGAGGCTGTCCTCACCATTCTCGACATTGAGGCGGACTCAGGTCTCCGCGTGTTGGGTGTCAACATTCTCGGAAAGTTCCTTACAAACAAGGATAACAACATCCGCTATGTCGCTCTCAACACGCTAAACAAGGTCGTCGCCATCGAGCCCAATGCCGTGCAGCGGCACCGCAACACCATCTTGGAATGTCTTCGCGACCCAGATATCAGTATCCGGAGACGAGCTCTGGACTTGAGTTTCATGCTCATCAACGAGAGCAACGTCCGCGTGCTTGTTCGGGAATTGCTTGCGTTCCTGGAAGTTGCCGACAACGAGTTCAAGCCGGCGATGACGACGCAAATCGGGATTGCTGCAGACCGCTATGCTCCCAACAAGCGCTGGCATGTTGACACCATCCTTCGTGTGCTCAAGCTTGCTGGTGCATACGTGAAGGAGCAGATTCTGTCCTCCTTTGTCCGCCTCATCGCTACCACTCCGGACTTGCAGACCTACTCTGTGCAAAAGCTCTATCTAGCCCTGAAGGAGGACATCTCACAGGAGGGTCTCACCCTTGCCGCCACCTGGGTTATTGGTGAATACGGCGACAATCTTCTGCGTGGTGGTCAATATGAGGAAGAGGAACTGGTTAAGGAGGTCAAGGAGAGTGATATTGTTGATCTCTTCAACAACATCCTTAACAGCACATATGCTACTCAGACCGTAATCGAATACATCACCACGGCTTCGATGAAGCTAACCGTGCGCATGTCTGATCCCGCTGAGATTGAGCGTCTCCGTCGCTTCCTTAGCAGCCGCACCGCTGACCTGAGTGTCGAGATTCAACAGCGGGCTATCGAGTACACTAATCTGTTTGGGTATGATCAGGTTCGCCGTGGTGTTTTGGAACGTATGCCACCCCCGGAGATTCGAGAAGAACAAAGAGTCTTGGGTGCTCCGACCAAGAAGCGCCAGAGCAAATTGTTGAAGGATAAGTCTAAGAAACCGGTTAAGCAGGCGGAGCAGGATATGCTGCTCGACCTCATGGGTGGCGATGCTCCAGCAACTAGCCCAACCACCAACGGCTCTCAGAACACAGCCGACCTTCTGGCAGATATCCTCGGTGGCGATTCAGGCCTGTCATCACCATCTCCTCAACCCGCGCAAAAGCCGGCTGGATCCGTCAACACTAGCGCGATCATGGGTCTCTTCGACTCCAATGGCACTACGCCTTCTCCCAACGTATCGCAGTCCGCGTCTTCCGGTCTGGATCTTTTAGGAGGCGTTGGGGCTGCTATGTCGCCAGCTCCGAGCCCTGCACCTTCGGCTCCGGTGCACACAGCATATAACAAGAATGACTTGACTCTTACGCTTCAAGTTCAACGTGCCAGCAACGGTAATGCGCAAATTCAGGCGCGGTTCCGTAACGTTGGAAACTTTGGCCAATTCTCCAATGTGGGATTGCAGGCTGCTGTTCCCAAGAGTCAACGTCTGCAGCTGAATGCGATCAGCAAGGCAGATCTGGAGGCTGGTGACGAGGGGATTCAGATGCTCAAAGTTGCAGGCCTGGCCGGGGTAAGTCCTTCCGCTATCCTGCAATATTCTTGCACGCATATTAATATTTGCCACAGGCCCTCCCACCTAAACTTCGCCTACGTCTGCGGATCACATATGCCAAGGATGGTTCAGACCCTGTGACGGATCAGGTTGACTGGACTGAGCCATGAGGCCGACGGACGACTTGACTGATATCATATCCTACTCATTGCCCGCCTGGACGCAGGCCGCGTGACCTAATCTATCTACCTTCCACCCATTCATCTGACATCCCACTTTATCATCCCTCGCCCTCGATCATCCATTCTAGCCTAGACGATACTGCCACAATTCATACTTCATGTTCCACCTGAGCATATTTCGCTCCTCAGCCTCAAAATGTAGCACAGTCACCCTCTTCTATCACATTTAGCCGCCCAAAGCCAGCAGCGACCGACGTCAGACACGGAATGAGAAGCAAAACAACAAGCCAATATGTCTTCCCCCCACTCCTTTCTGCTAAGGAAACACACACACACACATCATCATCCTTCCACGTCTATTACATTCCATGCATGCACATCTGCAGAATCCACATACCCGCTTAGTTTCGAATCTGATATTCTGGTTTCTCCCGGCGCCCCGGTATCTCCGTGGGGTCATGGATGTGTGCTGTCACAAAATATAGTTTTTTTTTTTTCCTTCCTTCCATGTTCTTCATCCTCAGGCTTCTTCCTCCTCCCCCGTCTTGTTTTGTTCTATTCCAGATTCTATGTAAATGCTTGATGGACTGTGTACATCGGTGATGCGTGACTCCCTTATGATGAGTAGGCGTTTCTCCCTCAGTCGCTAGGCTATGAATCTATGAATCCAATTCGGCAATCCTGCTTACTATAAAGGGTAGATACAGTACGTTACCCAGCAAAGAAAATGAGGGGCCCCCGGGGGCAGGGATGGTGGTCTTTCCAACAGATGAACAGAGGTTCGAACCCCGAACTGGGAACTGTTAGTCTACTGTGGGGGTTCGATAGGTGGGTAAGTGTGGGGGGAAGGGGGGGGAGAGGTTTGATTGTGTTGGGTTTTTAAACTCGGTAGCTGAGCCTGAGTGGTGGTGGTGGTGGTGGTGGTGGCCCAACTCGTTCATTACCTGAATATGGTATGTAGTAACTATGTAGTACCTATCTAGTACCTAGACACTATTTCTTATTGACTACCTACTACCTGGTGAGTGGGCTGGCTTAGCTGGCTCGCTTGCGGGGAGATTTTTTTTCTTCTTCACCTTTCTTCAATTTACGTAGGGGGCGACATTAAGCATTGACACCGTGAGGGGAGCTGCTGCATGAATACCCAAACTGTAGCAGGAAGAAGAAAGTATGTCTTTGAAAAGCTGGATGATGATGATTATGATGTAGTAGGGACAGACTACTTGCTATTAATATGGAGATTAGGTGTGTTGCGTGGGTTTCCTTGTTGAGATTGTGTGGATGATAGGTAGTTTCTACTGTACTAAGTGGATATGTGGCTATGTGTTGTTGTTGCTGTTGCTGTTGTTGTTGTTGTTGCGAAAAGCGCTACCTCCCAAATTTCGATCATGTCACTCGTAAATCATCATCATAAACTCCTGGTTCATTGAGGATTACCCCTTGCCTCTTACCCCCTTCCTTGATCATCAGAAAAACAAATGCACCAAACCACGTCAAACCCCCATCCCATGCGCCGAAGTAGTTGCAATCGTAGTGAGAGATAAAGCACAACAAAGATGTATGCGAAGAATAGTTGAATGTCAGGGCGTCGAATATCGGAAAGAGTTAGAGTCATGGATTGAGGGATTCATCGACAGACAAACGAAGAGTTACTCCATTAGATCGAAAGAAATACGGGTATATCAAAGCAGACGTCTCGGACAAATCCTCGCCAGTATTGTGTTAAGAGTGGAAATGGTCGCGTCGGTATGCAAGAAGTGAAAAGAAACGTGGTGAACATCGTCGATGGGTTCATCTCCCGGCGACTGGCTGCTGGCTCCAGAACGACTCATTGAGCGTAAGCAGATTGCCGCCTTCCTATCGGTGGATGGGGATAATCGTCCATGCGCCGGGAATAGGCATCGCGACCGGAATGGGGGATATGCTCTGGCCCGATCTCGCGTGCGTACTTGTAATCTCGATCCTTGCTACGGGTGTATTCCACCTCACCATAGAGGGGTCGCGAAGAAGACTGCCTCGAGGCACTAGGCCGAGATGACGACTCATAGCGACCTGAATACTCCGCTGGGTAAGCATAAGTACTGCTGCGAACTGGTTTTGGCATAGGACGGCTCGACCCCGAACGATCTTGTCGAGGCGGCGAGTGCCCCCTTGCATGTCTTGAGGACGCGTGGGGTGACGGCATGCTCGGCTCCACCAGGACTGTATCTGGCACGATCTTATATCTGGTCTTCATCGGGCTCTCGCCTGGTGGTAAGTCCGGCGTTCCCGGACTAGAATACCCGGAGTCATACTTGTCTGTATTTCGGAGCTTCGTCGTCCGAGAGTTGCCGTCGTGTACCATGTGTAGAAGGAACTGCTCCGTACGACCTAGGGTCTTCGGTCGGGAATGGGACTGCGCTGTAGATGCAGATCGTGAAGATTGAAGAGAAGGACGAATTGACGAGGATACTTTGACAGCTGGTGATGTTGCAGCCGTGGGCATGCTGGGGACCTTCGCGTCGTAGGGTCGAGACTGGGACTCAATATGCTCGTAAGAGTTGTTGCGGGAGCTTGAGCTCCGCACAGTTTCCTTGCTGGGACGATTGGATCGATTCGAGCGCCGGGAGGAGGAGGACTCGGGATCAGCTGAATCGTAAGCGTGAGGACGAGGAGGCGACCGAGATGCCCGTGCCCTTCGATCAATTTCAATGGGAACGGTTCCTTTCGATCGTAGAATGTAGTCCCGCGCGGTAGTGTGCATCTTCTCATGCTTCGACTCCATGCGATCTGAGTAATCCTCCGATTCGTAACGTGCAGGCTCCGGGCGACGGGTTGATTCGGTTGGTCGAGCCTTGCGTGTGGACGACTCCCGGCTTCGTTTCTCCGAGGGCCGTTTGACTCGTACGTAGTATGATGATGCGCTAGAATCGGAAGCCGCGCCGTCATCTTCAGACTCGCTGTACGGGGCGGCCCGTTCGGGATACCTCTTGTCGTAGGCATCCCGCTTGCGTTCCTTGGTACGGTACTTGTCGCGAGACGAGTGGGTCGTCTTGACGTTGTCCCGAAGCATCTCTTTCGCGGCGCGGGCGGCACTCAGGGGGACACTCTTCGCCTCCTTCTTCTTCTTCTCCTCCGCCACCTTGGCCCGTCGCTTGCCATAATCATCGTACTTGCGAGCTGTCGGCCGTGTTCCGTCGGAATATAAGCCGTCCTCCTCGTAGTAGTTGGTCGCATCGGCCGGAGTTCTTTCTTCGTAAATCCGCCCATTGCGGTATTCGCGGGGCACGGTGGAACCAGAACCATTACTTCGCGAGGGTGAACCGTTAGGATTCCCGCCGCGCGCCATCATCTCTCGTCGAAGCTCCGCAAGACGGACCTTGTTGTCATATTTGGCCCTTCTTGTCTCATCGGACAGAAGTTCGTAGGCCTGTTGGACCTTTTGAAACTCATCCTGAGCCTGACTCCGTTGGCTTTCGTCCTTGACCTTGTCGGGGTGCCACTTCAGCACCAGTTTGCGATGGGCGGATTTGATGTCAGCCAGGGTTGCATCTTTCTGGACTCCCAACACCACATATGGGTCAATGTCTGATATGGAGGTCATGATGTGAAAGCTGTGATCAATTGATCAAGCACACAAGGCACAAATACCATACAAATGTTAGTATGGTCCGAAACAGAATAACACAAGGGGTTTTAAGGAAGAGCAGAAAGCGAGAGGTGTTGTGTGGCGCTGTATAAAAGGAAATCGGAGCGACCGAGGCGGTGGAGGATAAACAAGTAGCGGGAGGCGAGTTTCGGGATGGAGGCAGTGTGATATCGTGCAGGTACCCTGGCGTCGAGTGGGCGGATGGACGGGGGAACGATGGGGTGACGTGGGTTCTCGTGACGATCAATGGCTCATGCTCAAGATTTCACCAGATCGGATATGCGGCCAATTCATGGAGAACATGAGAGAATGAGGGAGAAGCCGAGGAGTGAGGGAGACAGTGCAGCACCAGTAGGCAGGCAGGCAGGTAGGCAGGCAGATGCAGCCAGAATAGTAATTGGAGGGGGAGAGGGGGGGGGGAAGACAATGGAAAAAAGGGGATAGAGAATAGGATGACAACAATAATAGTCAGCCAGGGGAAAAACCGGCAGGCAGGCAAGAAACGAAGAGAGAAGGGAAGAGCGAATATCAAGGTATTAGACTATTACTGAAGACTGACTGGTATGAGAGTAATCAATCAGAGATTCAGAAGGAAAACAGGCAAGCAATCGGTGGGAACAAACGAACGAACCCACTTGAGGAAACTGGGGCGATGATGGATGGATGGATGGATGGATGGATGTGTTTCCGGGTAATTCTGTTCAGGGGAAAGAAAGTGAATGTAAAGTGAATGTAAAGTGGTTGTATAGTCAGAGTATGGTAAAGTTCAGGTCAGCCAGTCCCTCCTCCGTCAGTCGTCGTACGGGAGAGGCGACCAACACCAGAGGGGCCAAAAAAAAAGACAAGGGAAAAATAATAATAATAATAATAGAAAAATAATCTTCTAAGGTCAGATCCAAGCAAACTGCGCCACGCTGATTCTCTCCCAAAAACTAAAAGTAGAAATGTCGAAAAAGTGTTAGTCCAAAAGAAGGATAGGCGTGTGAAGTGGCACCACGTTAGGAAGTTTAGCAACAATGGGTACTGCTGAATAGGCACACACACACACTGTGGATGATGATGAATAAGACTGATGATGAATGATGGCAAGAAGAGTTAGAATGACAGCAACATGAGCTGGCTCAGCTTAGTCCAAGACGCTCGATGATGCCACGGGCGATGCAAAAGGTGGAGTGGGTTAATGTTGGGGGCAAAGAAGGAAAGGAAGGGATGACTGATAGTGTTGCTGTTGCTGATGCTGATGGTACTGAGAGGAAGAAAGATCACATTCCACTGAGTAATCAGCAAGTGCAATCAATGATGATAAATAATTTAAAGAGGAGAAGCCCTGCTTCTTCACTTCACTTCTTTGCTCTTAGCAGTGACTCAGTCTCCTTCAGGCGTTTGTCGCCCTCTTCTTGAGGAAGAAAAAGGAAATGGGACCAACTCAGAAGCAGCGGTGAAGTTGATGAAACCAACGATGGGGACTTTTCTCCGTCCTTAATCTTCTCCTTAGATGTATTCTTCTGATGGCGTAGTGACGGAAAGGGAGAGGCTCATTCATGGAATGAAGCGGTCAATTGACAGTTCTTGCCTAAGGCAATAGAGGCATCGAGTTGCGAGTTGGGGGTCTCTTCTCTTACCAATTCCTTCTATTCTCCAGATGAGGTGCCAGATGAGATTAATATTCCCCAGGTGAACACATGGAATCTGTCAAATCGAACTGGAAACCGGAAGTGATGTGGTACAGACACTCGGTTGTTCGGGCTATACTTCGACTGCCTGGTCCGTTCCCGGAGGGGGATAGAGTAGGTACTCCGTACGGTACTACGGTACTTGGGTACGTGGTACTGTACTAGGGTACTAATAGTACTTACCATACCTAGTACATACCACACGGCACAGTTGACTTCTTCCTCGGTTAGAAACTACAATGCCCGTAGTCATCAATCCCGGATCCAGTGACCAGCACACTTCCTTTGCCTACTTTATTTCCTCATACTGAGTGCTAAAAGGATTAGAACTACAGAACTCGTTATTTTGGTCTGTACTATCTTTTCCCCCTCTCATCTCCTGAGTCCTGTCAGATGTCAGATGAGCACGCACCACCACTATCCCAGTTCACCAGGGCGACCGTCCACCGGTCAGGGTATGCGGGGCAGATGGAACTTGGGACTTGGGACTTGGGAAAGTGGATTCGTCTTTCCGATCGGCCTCGGATTTGGTGACTTGGTTCTCTACAAATCTGCAGTCTCCAGTCTTCAATTGGCACTGCCCTCTTGCATGCTGATTGATCAGATAGATGGTTCCAGGCCAACTAATCATCGTCGATATCCCGACCCTCATGAATCTCACCACCCGCCCTAAACCCTGTTCGGGGTTGACCAGTGGCCACTCAGTGGCAGCAAGCAATCAACAGAAGCAGGAGAACCCCGCATCACCACCGCCCACACCACAAACTCGTTGGCGCCCGCTATGACTGCCACACCCTTTGCATCTCCGCTGTTCATAACTTTCCACACCGTCGTGGCTGCTCTCCGACTGCCTCTATAGGTCGACTAATTTCTGGTCACCTTTGCCTTCACCGAGAGGCCTTTATAGTCCAATCATCTTCACAGTCATCTGCGTGCGCTCTTTCCCCCCGCTGCATCGTACTCCTGTTGCCTCACCGAGATGATACGCCGGGTTCTGCAGCCTTGAATTAGCTCGGCGTATTGCCTCCCCCTCACCACCCCTTCTCTGTCGTCCTCTCTTGAGATTTCTCCCTGATCCATAGTGATTCATAGCTTCTTGAACAGATTAACTTCGCACGATGACCGAGAATCGCGCAATTTATTCCAATCTAGCGGATACATGCAGCGACTCCCACGCTCGCCGGGAACACCAATTAGCATGGTACCTGACGAAGCATCCATGGTTATCACCGTCATCTAACATCACCGATCCGATCCGGTTCGCGTGGAATGGTCCCGTGGGTTGGCCCGAACGGTTCCGTGGTTATCTTTACAGGTTGTCCTGGATCTCGACAACTTCGTCCCCGTGTCCATGCTCATGCCAGGTCCACCCTTCGACCTGTCCTGGCGGTTAATTCATCACAAACTCCAAGACGTGACCCGTGCATCTGTAGATCAATCACCTCGATCTACCTTGCGATGAAAGCTAAAAGAAAAATCGACGTGTGTCGAGGAGTATGTCTTCTACGCTTGGATCGTACTGTATGTGGTCGTGCTCCACCAATCTCACCTCGCACTGGCCTGTCAGATTACCTTGCCTGTGCCACTTCATGCTGCCCGTGTCCATGATCCCTTCTACGGGTGCCCCTCAAGACGCTGATTGTTCTCGAAGGAGTGACCGGCCCCTAGACCGGGTCATCTGCCCCGGAAGCGAGGCTTGGCCTTTTATTTTGGCCGCACACCATGCAATGATTATCCCAGCATTAGCTTGCAGGCGGGTGCTTCAATTTCTCGTTGGGCCGCGTCCAATCACAGTGCAAAGGTGCGTAAGAATAGAGCGGCTACTATGGACATTCGTCAAGATTTTTTCCCTGAGGTAGTCTAGGAGCTGTAGCATTATGGTGCGACACGTTATCAAGAGGATAATGGACCCCTCGCTGAGTCGGAGGGTATCTTTGTCTCTGGCTACGGCAACGTCTTGGATGCAGGATCGGCGGAGTCGATAATCGCTTGGTGATGTACAGTACTCCGACTCCGATCGGCCGCTCAAGCAACCCTTCAGCCGACGGCATACGTATCACTATCTCCGATGAGATCTGACCGAATGAGCATGTTTCTGTCGCTTCTCGGAGCTCCATGAACTTCAGAAGACACCATACTTGACTATACAGGCAGCTTCGAGCTTTGCTGGCCCGCAACATCCACCTATGGTATCCTACCTATAGGTGGGGCTTGGAAGCGCAAGTGAATCTCAAGTGCGAGTGCCTCGTGGAAGAGTGACGAATTCGACACAGTACGCACCCTGGTTCCACGGTCACAAGTTGAAGGCCGGCATCAGGGGGATGACCGAGCGTCCACCAATGATCTCGACCACTATCGATCCTGACTGCATCTTATCAATCCAGTGGGCGGTTACCTTACCTACTTGGGCTCTAGTTTCAGCCACTAGCTCAATTGAAAGGAAACTCATGGCTATGGCCGCCTTAGCGCCCCAACCCCAGCCAGGTGGCGCTGTCCGGACTCCGGTCGACGGATTCAGATTGCAGTGGAAGTGGCCCTCGCGTTGGATGACCGATGAATAGTAATACGAAAGCTGATGCGGGCCCCACCTCAGCTGGGGTACGACTGTGGCATCTCTGAACCGATCAGCATTTCATCCGGGCTGATCTGTTCCATAGCATCGGGAAAGTGGGCCTGGGAGAATCTACATGAAATAAGGACAGCCGAGCCACGCGGGTGGAGGTGGCTGGTCGCTGCGTCCTAAAAAGTACATACGTAGTTAGTGTGTGCAGTTGGGTATACAAAAGAGGATCTGGGCGGGAAAGGCGCAAAAAGAGATCTCCCCGACTGGGAGTCGAACCCAGGTCTCCCGCGCTTGTTCCCAACTGGGATTGACAAGCGGAAATCATGACCGTTAGACCATCGAGGAAGCTTGTTAATAGAAGATCGAAGAATTGTTTTGTGACTCTAAACGCTGGTGATTGCTACTTCGGATCTTGCAGATCAACTAGCAACAGACCCCTCATCCTTTACTTTTACATCATGCTCAACATCCTCCCTGTCTCAGCCGGTTTACCCCACAATGTAAGGCCACTCGATTGATTACGAGTATTCCTGCCAAATATCCTGACCTTGAAGATCCTTTGACTGCGTTTGAGTGGGCGTATATCTCTGTATGTCCTGATGATCTACTTCCAGCCCAGTTGTTGACTGTCTCTTAGTCACTATTCGATCGGTTTCTTGCTCGGGAGACAAGCCCCCCTTTGTCCCCAAAGCCGCGGCCCCGCCACTACAACGGAGTACCAAGCACACTTTTCAGTCTTCCGTCCCTGTCCATAGGACAGGGTCAAGCGCCTGCAACCCCTCACTAGGCGGTTCCAGATGGGTCCTCGTCACCCATCCTCGACTGGTAACCGCTGATCGAGGCACTACAACACGGCCCTTTACTATCTGTTCACCCAAAGGCCACCAGGATTCCAGCTGACCCCAGCCTTATCGTGTTTTGCTATAGGACAAACACGCATTTAGATGACACCCAGGCAAGGAAACATTTCATGTGATCTTTCAAACCTGACTGCGTCTTGCGATCAAACAAATGCATTATCCATGGTCTCCTGAATGATCCAGTACTAACAATAGCAGGCATGACGGATTATCGCTCATGGGGTTTATTGTACTCCCTCCCTACTTTCAGTAGGTGACTGTATTTCCGGCTTGAGTTCGTCAAATGACGATTCGACCCAGCACATCGAGCAAGGGAGCCATGAAGCATCACTCTTCTCAAACCCCGCCTTGCTGCCACTAGCTCGTGATGTAAATCACTATATTCCTCTAGTGATTATCACGGACCTCCAATCACGTTGAGGCGTCTACCCAAAGGATAAAGGAGCAGACTCAACTGCCCAGGCTGAAAAGTTTCTTTGTTCCAAGGCAACTACTGACGCATACAACCTAAACCAGCCAGGGATACGTCAAACTAGAGGTCAAAGCTCAAGCTGTTTGCTGGAAGCTAGATGGTATCAGGACCTCAAGAGACAAATGCAGTACTATGCTGAGGTAATGCTTGTGTGCTCTAGGATGGCTCGGCGTCATCTCTAGCCCGTGCGCTTCAAGTTGCTGCTCATCACCCCTTCCAGGTCGGGAGTTCTAGATCAACCACAATGGGCGTATTGAACCTTTTCCCTCCTCGATGAGGCCAGCTCGTTGCCATGATTGCCGCATTGATGATGCAAGTCTCGTGTCTGTGCGAGTGAAGCCCATTCTCATCGTCATGTTCTCCTCTCTTCAGGCATGAAAGGGCAGATTCCGAATCTGATCGGTCGGCTTCAGTATTCTGAGTCCTGCCGAGCGACGGGTCAGGCAATGGGGCTAGTATAACATTCTGCGTCGATTGGAACAGTGCTCCGAGTGACGTTGCCACCACTTGCTCAGCGAAGAAACCATCATTGTCTAGCTTCGATGCCTTTTTTCCTGTGAGGTCCACGAGGCTTTGCTTTCTACTTCCCGAAGGAGGGAGAAAGCCTTGAGTGATTTGGCTCGGTCGATCTTGAGTGCTTGACACCGACAATGACGGTATGGATGATGGGGGCCACTTCACCCTCTCATAGCCGCGCGACTCGTGCACATGGCCACATACGGCCAGCATCGGTCGAACGTAGCTTAAGGCCTCGCGAAGGGCTTTGCATCCGACTGATTCAGCCGCTGCTCCATGGCAGTCGCAGTGTGAATGAGGAGGGGTGTGCGTTACCACAATGTCAGTATCCAATGGAATCCTGCTCCAAAGCTCAGCAGCCTCCGAGGAATCGTATCCATAAGCCCAGGTTCCTGGCGATTGGGAATATGGAGAGCCAAAAACTTTGAAGACGGTGTTTGGGCCGTTGGGCCGCCTCAGCCGGACTAGTGCTGACTCGTGCCTGAGAAATACGATGGAAGGGGAGGATGCTTCGGTGACAAGTTCTATGCATTTCCGAGGGTTTTCGAGATACTGACCATGAAATTTCGAACCGTGGCGGGCATAGAAATCGGCATCTAGCGTAATGTCATGGTTTCCTGGAGCGCTTTCATACTTCAGCACACTCATGCGCATCGAAACTCTTCTCCGACATCCCTACGAGCTGCGGTCTGTGGTCTGGGACAAGCCACAGGCGGCTCTCGAGCAAGCTCGGCTAGGTAATGTAAGTACTGACCACAGATGACAATTTTGACCTCGAAATCAGCCGCAGAGATCCAGCCCATACTTTTACAAAGCTCAGCCATGCTACCATGGTTGGTGAGATCACCCGCATGGATCAAGACGTCTCCCGCTGGGAGCTTGAAACCAGCCTCAGAGGGAGTGTAAGCATGCGTGTCAGAGACACAGACGAAACGTGTCTTTCGGCGCATCTTTGTGATGGGTCTCTATGAAACATTCGTAGGATCAGCGGGTCTGTTTCTATTATCGGCAGGGCTTGGCCAGGACATGGCTCAGGTAGCACATGTAACCTTGCTGTGTAACAACAAGGCTTGGTATCGAGCGGTTCATGTTGCCTGCTCACTTACAGCTGGCGGGGGTTCTTCTATTTCCAATTGAGGAATTCGAATAAAGGGAAACACGGCGGGGGATCGCATAGCAGACTTGTGTGACGAAGAGAATATCACCCAGCAACCTATATTGAAGTAGAGAGTTATCTAGACCAGTGACGACATGTAAGCGGTCTGGCCCAGCGGGAGGTACTGGGGGTGGACACCTGAGGCACTCAGTCTGCATCTCAAATCTCCGCTTAAAGCCAGGTTTGCACCGATTGAAGGCCAATCAACCACTGGGCATCGTCAAGTCATCTCCCGAAGCAGCCGGAAGTGGGGCCAGGCAACTCCCCCCCCCCCCCCGATTACATGATGATGCACTTCTTCACTTTCAGCAACCTCACGATACTACCTCCACCATCATTCTCCTTCCAATTCCTCCCTCACTATTCGTCATTTGAAGCTGCAGGTCCACGGGATTATTCCGGTCTAGAGACTTGAGGAGGTGCATAGCTTTCCTCAAGTCACACTTGCAACATGCCTCGGTGGAAGCGCAGCAAGCCGCGCTCCGATAAAGACCTGGGAGCCAGCAACGGTGGTTCTGGAGCGCCATCCGATAGCCCTATTGCTCGCTCTACAGCCATCGCCTCTCTCCGTGCTGTCAGCGGCAGCTCTCCGGACTCAATGAGAGGTGCGGCACAACCAAAAGTGCCAGATCCTGAGGCGATCCGCAAGCTAGCCAGACAGCACGCCGAGTTCGGGCCCCTCGGCGATCCGTCGCATCTTTACACCAGCGAGCACCCTGGGGGAGAGATCCCCGATCCTGTCATTGATGAACCCCCGTACTTCTTTGTCCTGACGACCTACGTCAGCTTTCTCGTTCTCATCTTCCTCGGCCATTTTCACGATTTCTGGGCTCAGTGGTTCTCGTCCCATTCCTATCGGCATCTGAAGCCCCAGAATGGGTACGCCTCTCTATACAGTGACTTCGAGAGCTTCTACACGCGTCGATTGAAGCAGCGCATCAACGACTGCTTTGAGCGGCCGATCACCGGCGTCCCCGGCCGACATGTTACCCTCCTCGACCGGATCACCGAAGACAACCTGCATTTCAGCTTCACGGGCACGACAACCGACACCCTGAATCTCAGCTCCTACAACTACCTCGGATTTGCCCAATCAGAGGGGCCCTGCACCGATTTCGCAGAGGAGACTCTCCGGCGGGAAGGTATCTCTCTTGCGGGCACCCCTGACGCAGGAATTACCAAGTTGCATGTTGAGGTCGAGGATCAGATCGCTCGGTTCGTGGGCAAGGAGTCCGCCATGGTTTTCTCTATGGGGTTCGTGACCAACGCTACGATCTTCCCGGCCATCATGGAAAAGGGCTGTTTGATTCTGTCCGATGAGCTCAACCATGCATCCATCCGGTTCGGCGCCCGTCTCTCGGGGGCAGCTATCCAGGTCTTTGCGCATAACAACATGGCGGACCTTGAGAAGCGCTTAAGGGAGGCGATCTCACAAGGCCAGCCGCGCACCCACCGGCCTTGGAAGAAGATCCTGGTCACCGTTGAGGGTCTGTTCTCGATGGAGGGCACCATGTGCAACCTTCCTCGGATCCTTGAGCTGAAGAAGAAGTACAAGTTCCACTTGTTTGTTGACGAGGCCCACTCAATTGGCGCGGTTGGGCGCCATGGACGCGGGGTCTGTGACTATTTTAGGGTTGACCCTGCAGAGGTCGAGATCCTTATGGGCACTTTTACCAAGTCTTTTGGAGCCAATGGGGGTTATATCGCCGCCGATGAGGCGATCATTGACAAAGTGCGCTGCCTCAATGCTGGTCAAGTCTTTGGCGAAGCTCCGTCCCTGCCTGTTCTCGCGCAGATCTATTCCTCGCTGCGACTTATCGCTGATGAAGACCCCCTCCACCCGGGTGAAGGACGGGAGCGCATGCAGCGTCTAGCGTTCAATTCACGTTATCTACGCCTCGGACTGAAGCGACTTGGGTTCATTGTTTACGGGCACGATGATTCGCCCATTGTCCCCTTGATGCTGTACAACCCCGCCAAAATGCCTGCGTTCTCCCGGGAAATGCTGCGTCGGAAGATCTCCGTTGTCGTTGTGACCTACCCTGCTACGCCCCTGGAGCTCTCCCGTGCCCGCCTGTGCGTGTCGGCTGCGCACACCAAGGACGACCTCGACCGCATACTGCAGGTGTGCGACGAGATTGGGGATGCACTCGAGCTCAAGTTTTCTTCCGGGGTCGCAGGGGGCCTGAAAGAGCCCCTCTCCTCTGAAGAGAACCCCAATGGAGGCCACAAGGCCATCGAGCCCCCGCGCTGGACTCTCGAGGAAGTCATTGCGAGGGGCACGCGCGACGCAAAGCTGCCTTTCTACTAAGAATAGCAGTCGGCACAAATCTCGTTCTGTATGATGTGATGTGATGGAAGATAGCACGTCTTGGTGCTTTTTGTATAATGCCGCATGACCTCCTTTTTTGGCTACATCGATATACGCTTAGACACATACAGCCATTGCCTGCGATCTGTCCCTTCGTTTTTGGTGCCATTACTTTGGCGCTACGCTACGGACTCCGATCCCCGTCCGATGCCGGACTGCATCTTCGGCGAGACTCATGGCTCGCCGGTTGAAAGAACATATTAATCTTAATGTATACAATATTTACTTCTAGCTGCTATGATGGCCAGCAACTCTCGCTTGGGCTGGGTTTCCTAATGAATTGTGATTGCTGCTCTAGAGGTGGCTGAGCGGACTTGTCCATACATGGGCGTCATCGGGAGGCCGGTGGCTAGTACTATTCGCTGACTGCCTGAGGATTGCACCGGTCAGGTGAAGCGATTGAAGGGTTTTGGGGTGATAGTAGAATCTTAGCTGAAAGCTGAATCCTTTCTGATACTTCTAGCAAGTCAAATAGTGAAAGCGACCGTGACGAAGGGACCGATGGGCAGTAGACGGTATGTAGATTGATTACCAGCGTATCTGGGGGAACACTGGGTCTACCATCTAGTGTTTGCGGGGTGGGCACTTGTCTAGGTAAAGTTCTCCCAAGACTAATGCAATGAGGTATAGCCTGGGGGTGTGCAGAAGACAGGCGCAGAATGGCAGAGATCATATTTACTTTCACATACCATCTGAACTGTTGTTGAACCAACAGTTTGCCAAAGACCAATGCGACATTGCCACTCATACCAATTCTGACATAGATAAGGGCAAGCTTGGTAGTCACTTGGGGGCTGGATGCCGGTCTACTATGGCAAGATCACGTGATCCTCCAGCCACGGACGGAGTTAGGGCTGTGGCCCTCGACGGGGGACGGTCCCGCACACAGAAAGCCCGTAGCGCCGCTCGCTTAGCGAACAACCCCAGCGAACCCTCCATCCGACATCGTTGTGTGCGTTGAACCTGCCCACAACGACAACAACCGCCGACAACTTATACATCCCAAGGGAGTATCCTAGAGCAGCGCTCTTCCTATCGCTGGATATTTTCCTTTCGACACAGCAGGATGTCCTCCATCGATCCAGTCGTGCGTACCCACCACCGCCCCTTCCACCCAGACACTATACCTGTGCACATCCCGGAGTTCTTTTTTCGATGGGAAATCTATATCTGCAACACTTCCTTTTTTTCCGGAGACGAGTGCAAGAGGAGGATGATTGGGAGATTTTGGGGGCATGAGATGAGAGAAGAGGAAGAGCGGAAAGGGGGAATGCGAGACCGTCTCCGGGGAAGAACAAGCGGAGGGATGGGATATTTACCATGCGGAAGAGTCACTCGGGGAAATTGAGAAAAACAGGAATCGCTGACTTGTGTTGGATTTTCTTTGCAGGTCGTCATTGACGGCAAGGGACACCTTCTTGGTCGTCTTGCCAGCACTGTCGCCAAGCAGCTGCTCAACGGTCAGAAGATCGTCGTCGTGAGATGTGAGGCTCTTAACATCTCCGGCGAGTTCTTCCGCGCGAAGCGTACGTTATCTCATCTTATCCGATCCGAATTCGAATCCGCTCTCTTGTGTGCCATGCCTGCTGTCGTCTGGGATATATTGTTGGTGCTTGGTGTCTGCTACGTGAGGTGTAGCGGGGGGATGTGAGATGAGTCGCGACATGGGAGGAAGAACAAATCGGGATGATAATCGACATATACCGAAGCGACAGTGTGGAGGAACACAAGAGATGCGCTTTATGCTTGGGGAATGAAACATCGACTGACCTGGATCGTGTGTGATATAGTCAAGTACCACGCCTACCTTCGCAAGATGACTCGTTTCAACCCTACCCGCGGTGGTGAGTCTACCCTGAGACCTTCCGACAAACCCGATTCTCTCGACTGGTGCTGAGTTTGATTACCACAGGTCCCTTCCACTTCCGCGCTCCCTCCCGCATCTTCTACAAGGCCGTCCGCGGTATGATGCCCCACAAGACTGCCCGTGGTGCTGCCGCTCTGGAGCGCCTCAAGGTCTTCGAGGGTGTTCCTCCCCCCTACGACAAGAAGAAGCGCGTCGTCGTTCCTCAGGCCCTCCGTGTCCTCCGCCTCCGCCCCGGTCGCAAGTACTGCACCGTCGGCCGTCTGAGCCACGAGGTCGGCTGGAAGTACCAGGACGTCGTTGCCAGGTATGTTCATTCTGCTGCTGCGTTCCAGTGGCTTCTCTTGTTGGGTTGGGGAATCATGGCTAAACTTTTCGTTCTACAGACTCGAGGAGCGGAGAAAGGTCAAGAGCAGCGCCTATTACGAGCGCAAGAAGGCTGCCCGCCGTCAACTCGTCCACGCCCAGAAGTCGGCGGCTGTCAGCGAGCAGACCAAGACCGAGCTTGCTCAGTACGGATACTAGATACCTGGTTGCGCGGCTGGTTGCCTGTGTCTGTGATAGGATGGGATGGGATCGCGAACGGTTATGTTTCAGCGACAGATGGACGGCGAACCGATCGACCTTTTTTTCTCTCTCACCCTGTCCCTAACCTTTTCATGAAAACCCCCCCACAATTACCTACGTTGTGACGCACATGGGAGGCTGGCGAGATTCGAACTCTTAATAAACAAAAAAGAATTTTACGGGAGTCCGTTTGGGATGCAGAAAAAGAAAAGAAAGGTTGTTTCCAAATAGCTGACCGTTGACTCGCGCCGTGGCGGTTTAATCCAAGAATCTTTTCTTTTTTTCAGAACTGTTCAGATGATTTGTTGTGACGACCTCCTTTCAAAAAAGATAAACATCACATTCCGCTTCGTCTTGGTATTCTTGCGATAAAGTGTCCGAAGTTCTATTACGCCATGCTTGCTATAAGCCGCGGATCAGGATGCTTGATCCGATGGCTCCGTATAAATGCCGCACGAACCGGGTTCAATCCCCCATTGTCATCACCAGTCTCAGCCCCTTGCGTGACAAAGTCCCATGCGACAAGACACCTTGCCTGAGCAGATCTAGATCGCTCATCGTCGTTATCGTAGTCAAAGCCGTCAAAGCCGCCATCCCAGGGTAATGATGTGATGGGAGAAGAATAGTGCATGTGCCCGGATGGCCTTCATGCAATCGGAGCAAGGCACTTGCCGCCTGGCGTGATGGTCGCTGCATGGTTGACTCATGTACAGTATTATCGTCATCTACCATCCATATCCACAGTCAAGATGAATTGTGGGCACGGTTTATGCTCGTCCGATCTGTTGTCCTTGATCTGTTTCTGGATGCTGCTGTTTGGAAGCATCGGCCACTGCCACTACCTTAGGTAGTGAGTATGCCCCTGCGGTGCGTGGGAGACATTCTCGGCTTGGTTCTGGACTGTTGGTATTTCCTGCTGGTGCTTTGGTAGTCTATTGTGCTTCTTCCGTAGGTTGGGGCGGGATCTCGCTCGGTGAGGTCCATGGTTGGTGCCTGGGGGTGGTATGATGGATGTCTGAAGAAGTATAGTGTATGTGACTGGATGGTATTGTACTGTACATGGTGAACCTGTGACTCGCCGATTGATTATGTTATGTTTAGTTCGATGATGAATGTGAATCCTTTATGGTCAAGTGGTACTCGTATTCAGTCTGGATCTCAATACAGGTGAATGATCGATTGATTGAGTGAGCGGTTGCTTGGTTGTAGGATTAGAATAATGGATGTATTGTGTTGATTAGGAATTGGGCCCAAGGTGGAGGCCGCTAAGGAACAAAGAGTTTTCCAGTGGTCAATTCTTCCATGAGGGGAAATGGACTGTGTGTATCATGTACTGTACTGTACTGTACAAGTCAGTGGTCAGTGTAACTCGCTGAACTTTATCGATTCTTGTCGCCGGCAACCTCGAAGGTAATTGTCGTCAGCTCCATTGGCGAGTCCTTCTTCATTTATGGACGAATCAAGAATTGAGCAATGTGAGCCCGTAGAATGGGGTTGTTTGAAGGTTCCAAATTGAAAGGGAAGGATCCGCTTTTTGGGCTCCGCCGCGGCCCCGACGCCCCAAACGATGATCATCCCCGCATTTACTCCTCTTTGACTTCTCGTCTCCTCTTCTGGAGCTCCTCGGAATCGCTCTCTTCTCTCCCCCTCCTTCTCTTCCGTCCTCGTTTCTCGTTTCCTCATTCTGAATCACACACGTTCTCACTCCTCATCCTTACCAGCGCCCACCCAATTGGATCCTCTTCAGGGAGGACATTGAAGCATCCATACACGGATTTGTTCCTCGCCAGTCACAGTAACATCAAAGAACATCACAAGCTATGTCCTCCGCCAAGGGCCGGTTATCGGGCCTGCTCGCCCATTTCCTTCCCACCACCAATACCACCACCACCGCAGACACCACCTCAACCTCAACCTCTACGAATCGGCCAGTCAACTGCCACACCTTATCTCCAACATACTTTCTTCCTCGAGCTGCTGCCATTGAACCACATGTAAGTCCTGTTTGGTCTCGAGCTTTAGTCCCCGCTCCCCGAGCCCCGCCCCGACCTCAATTGTCTGGCCAATATAACCCTTCTTCCAATCAATACACTTAGCTTGGCCCTCATCATCTAAGTCGTCCCTCTTTGAAACAGGCAGAAGCAATCTACCACATCACAACCAATAATCAAATCCTCCGACGAAGCTATATCGAATTCACCGACCGCGCTCGCGGCCTGGCCTATTTCCTGAAGAGCCATGCGTTCACGCGCGTGGGCATTCTCTGCCCCAATACCCCGGCTTTCTTGGAGGCTATCTTTGGCATTGCTGCTGCTGGGGCGGTGCAGGTTGGTATGTTTTTTTTTCCGTCCATTTCTAGGGTATATGTAGTTTGTTGGGCTTCGCGGATTGGGAGACTTTGCCGTATACTTCCGAGAGGGATCGATGCTGACTTGGCTTTACTCCTGTAGCGGTGAATTACCGTCTCAAGGAAGAAGATATCGCCTATATCTTTACACACTCAGAGGTGGAGGTGATCATTGTGGACCAGGAGTTTCTACCCCTCTTACAGCGCTATCGAGCGACGAAACCTGATGTACCAGTGATTGTGGATACCGATACCGATGAGACGGAAGGGCAGTTGTCCGGGCCGTTTGATGAGGCGGTCTTGGAGGGGTTGAGGTTCGATGCCGAGACTGGGGCTCGAGGGTGGGAGGGGCTGGAAGCTCAGGCGGCCG